GAGAGGCGGCAGCTTTACCAACTGTGCCACCGTGTCGCCCTATTCCAAATCTACCTTTAAATCAAAGTTTTGCAACAAGCATGTCTTCAGAAACACAGTAAACTCTTATAACCACTGCAATTTTGCAGTAGCACCGGGAAATCCCTTCCTATAATGTTTGATATCGGCTGGAATTCCTGATGACATCACTCCAGAAAATAAAAAACAAGTTTTCAAACCGGCACTCTCGTAACAAAACCAGCTTGTTGCTACCCACTTCAATAAAATGCCAAATATCAACCAACTCCGTGTCATTCTGACGCTGTTGAGAGGAAGAATCGGAAAATAAAAGTAACTCCGTACTGAAAATGTCTCATTTTGACTCATTTTGGCAGAAGAGTTTGCATATTTTGGACTAACCGAACCTGTGTGTGATTATTCCCAGCTCACTGAAACCTCCTCTGAGTCAGAGAGAAGACCTCGGCGATGATTTCAAGGGTTGACAGGATGAGCTCAGCGCCGCGTTGGGCTCTCACATCAATGACACGTCTTCTCAGCTGCCCCTGAAATGTTCGCAGACACCAAACATCCAGACGAGTGACGTTCACACCTGCAGGTCAGCACCTGTGCGTCGAGGCAACCGTGGGAACCAAAAACACCCGGAAAAACTATTTAGGCAGAAACAAACCTAAAGTGCTCCGAGAGTCAACCACTGAAATAACTCCGCTACAATCGTGAAAACCACTGGAAGCAAAACTGGAAATAAACAAAAACAAACAAGAAAAATGAGGAAAAATGGTCCAAACGTTTATGAAATACTTGGAATTTAAAAACAGAAACCCTTTACCAAGAACCAACGACTGTTCTGGAGGTGCAGACTGAATGGTTCGTTTTTAATGACCTTACTAAGTGTGTGTGCATGACACACACGCAGACACACACACACACAGTTTGTCTTGATATCTTTATGGGGACGGTGCACTGACTTCCATTCATTTTTCATTCATCTTCTATAGCCTAACCCTGACCCTTACTCTAAACCTAACCATTACCAGTACATACCTAAACTTAAACCTAACCAT